ATCAAATGGCCTGATGGTCAATTTACTAAGTATTTATAACTTTCACAGCACAGCAGTTAATCTATATTCCTCTCCTCATTGCAGACTGTTGAGACGCTGCTGAGGCTGCTTTCGCGGGAGGCCTTCTTCAAGCCTGGACCATTCTTCAGGAACATCTAAATGAAGGTCCCTAGCCCACCTGTGTGATGCTAATTAGTAGGGATGTGCAGCGGAGCCAGTATCTGTATCTGTAATCACTAAATTATTTGTATCTGAATACGGATAAAACCGGAAGTAGGCGGGCTTGAACTGGAAGTTATGTCTATGGTTTTACAGCCTTTTTTTGTAGTTATCACTGAACAAATTTGCTGTGTTTAACTGTAATAATTATTTTTTGATTATAACATTTATTTAAATGTCTTCTAACACTCGGAGCCATAGACACTAAAAAAAATGGACGACGCACCTTCACTCTCTTCCAGTGTCCCAATAGGGCGCGGATATATTGAGCTGATTTGGGACCCGAGTGTGCGCTAGTGAGCGAAGTGGAGCCGTGTCCTGCCCACACTCCCGCTGAGTCGATCCCAAGCACATGCACCTGAACCTTTTTTAATTAGCCTGACTGCTCCAATTTTTGTCTGCTGATTGCCGTACAAGAGGCTTGTGCTAAAATAAGGTGAATGCAACTCAAATCTCCTCCTGAAGAGCCCGAAAAAGTTCGTTGGAGCGAACTGAGGCACCAACAAACTTTTTCGGGATCTTCAGGAGATTTGAGTTGACATCTGACATTTAAATATACACAAATAGTAGAACGTGTATGATGTAGTATTTTAGTTGATATTCTTGCCAAGCTCTGCTTTCTGAGAGATGCACGGAGAGGCAACAGCAATGATTGATTTGCGCTCATTTCATTCATAAAGTTTACATTCATTCACTTCACACACTCATTATTGCGTAGTGACTTTAGAGTTTTATGTATAATATCGCGCTGATCCCCTGGCTCACCCGTTATCCAGCAAACACCAGGAGTGACCGTGCCAGCCTCAACCAAATATTATTCAGCAGAATTATCCGTTATATAGCCATTATCCATGCCTTTCTGAATAAGGTATTCGGCTTCAGGCACAGCCCTACTAATTAGAGACCTGATGTGAAGGAAGCTGTGATCAGACACTGCTTTTGTGTTTAAAAAACAAAACAAAAAACACTGCTCTCTAAATTGTGTGTGTGTGTGTGTGTGTTCAGGTTTCAAGTCTCTACCTCTTCATTATGAGGACATGCAGCAGTGCCTGTAAGTGAGTTTGAGTGAGAGAATAAAAAAAGTTGAATGCATTTTTTTCTTCATAAAATGGGTAATGAAATCCCAATAGCACAATGCAGAATGTTTTGGTCTTTATTAAAACACTACCATCATGCACTTATAAACTCATGAGCACAGTCCTCATCCTCGGTGTTCTTCTGAGAGGATTGCAGTTCTGATCTTCATCACTACGCATGAAGGGATCTGCTTCTTGACCGGAGTCTCCACGGCTCTGTACTGGAGATGCTAATTTAAGTTGAAAGCATGGATTGAGATGGGACTACTTCATAACAGTCATGCATCCAATGTTGTATTTTTTGTCTTTTTTTAAACAGCAATTACATTATGGATATTGATAATAAAACATTTAAATGAGATGTTACCAGTGAGATACATCTATCAGCTCTCTGGTATGAACTTGAGCATCCACAACACTCAGTTCTCAGAAGAGACTCAATATATTATATAGCCGTATTACCGATGCATTTTCAAACTCTAGAAATTGACCTCAATTTTGACAATTTTCTTGTCATTTCTACTTCATCTTATGAGTTAAAGATTCACAATTGTGACAACATTCAACTTACTATGACTTGTATTTCTGGACATCCATGCCGAGTGTTTCCCTCGCCTCGGCTGGAGATGCTGGGACGGGCTCCAGTATTGCCACGACCCAACAGAGGATTAGTCATAGTTTTGACTTTTTGTCACAATATTTATTTATTCTTTATTTGACCAGGAAGGTCCCATTGAGATAAAAAAAAAAAATCTCCTCTTCCGGGGAGTCCTGGCCAAAATGACTGTACAAAATTTCTGAAAAATTTAGAAAAGTAAAACATACAACACACAAGACATAATTATATATGACCAAGCAAAACAGTAATCATAAAACAACCAATGATTTAAAACGGCAACAAGGTTCATTCATTACACACTTTAATACATTTTTTAAAGTATTCGATGAAGGAATGGGGGAAAAAAGATCTGTCACTTTCTGTTTCATTGCAACTTTAACTGCTGGCCCAGTTTGACTGATTTAAGACAAATTATGATTAAATAAAAGAGACTTACCTCAGCAGACTGATGCAGGAAAGCACTGGAGCACTTTGTCGGCTTTCTTTATGAGCTTGTCCACTGGAAATGAATGAGGCATGCTGTCACACATTCAACATGGTCAGTAATGCACCCAAATCATCTGTAGGCTAACATTCGTGATTTAATTTGAGTTGTAACAGGAACCTTTTTAGCTGCTCAGTACATCGCTAGGACGTGTACTGCTTTTTAGTTATTTCAGTTTTTGTCTTGTAGGGAAGTAGAGGTGAGAGGAGGAACAGGATCAGAGTCGCTGTGAACAAAAGCACTTGCTCTGACGATGCCATGAACATTACAGTTCTGTCAACTACGAGATGGGAGTTTAGGGTCGACAGTGTTGAAGACGTGTCACCAAATGCTTTAATAACCGCATCTCTTCTCTTGAGAAGATCCTCCTTCAGGGCAGTCAAAGTGACAACTGTGAAGAAGAACATTTTGGATTCCCTCCTTGGGTCAGTATGGCGATTCCTCCACAGTGCGCATCTATATATATATATGTGTGTGTGTGTGTGTGTGTGAGAGAGAACTGTGCTTCCAGTGGCATCATGGGCTCCTGGACCCCTCTGGCATAATACAACCGGTGGCTCTTTCCTCACTAGGCTCTGTACTTCAGGCTTTACTCACAAAAGAGCTTTTCACACTGCGCTGAGGCAACTTTTAAAGGGATACTTCACCAAAAAATGAAAATTAGCCCATGATTTACTCGCCCTCAAGCCATCTTAGGTGTATATAACTTTCTTCTTTCAGACGAATCCAATTGGAGTTATATTAAAATAATGTCCTGGCTCTTCCAAGCTTTATAATGGCAGCGAATGGGTGTTTCTGTTCAACAGCCCAAAAGACGTCCAATAAAGTGCATCCATCCATAATAAAGGTGCCTTACACGGCTCTGGGGGTGAATAAAGGCCTCCTGTAGCGAATCGATGCACTGCATGCGGCAGTGAGAAGTGACGAACGTGGAAGCAGAGAGGACAGAACAAAACAAAACACTGGTTACGAATTAGTACAAAACGAGGATTTGTAAAGAAAGGTGTCGGAGGATTTCGATAGAAGCCAAGAGAAGACTGGTTTTCCTTTGCTCAAGTAAGGAAACTTTGCTTCCTTTGCTCCTGTAAACAAACGTTGGTTTTCACGAGACTAGCATATTCTCACCGGCGCATGCGCTATGCCTACATCATCCGCCCGAACGACTTCCGCGTATGACAGTTAGCACAAGCTACAGAAAAGTGGTTATAACGTTTTAAATATGGATTTTTTTCTTACAAAAGCGCATCAATTAGCTACAGGAGACCTTTATTCCCCCCCGAGCCGCGTGAGGCACTTTTTATGATGGATGGATGCACTTTATTTGACTTCTTTTGGACTATTGAAAAACAACACCCATTCACTCCCATTATAAAGCTTGGAAGAGCCACAATATTTTTTGATATAACTCTGATTGGATTCGTCTGAAAGAAGAAAGCCATATACACCTAGGATGCTTCGAGGGTGAGTAAATCATGGGCTAATTTTCATTTTTGGGTGAACTATCCCTTTAACCCTTGTTATATCAATATTTCACCTTGGTATTTTTGCAAGAGGTTTTACCATCACTTTCAATCCTTTGTTGAGAACCAGGGTTAGGATGGCGGTTTTCACAACCAGTGCTGGGTAGATTACTTACAAATTGTAGTCCATTACTGATTATCGATATCATGAAATGCATTAAATATTACATTACAGCAGGGTTTCCCAAACTGTAAATAAGTGGTAGGTTCAATTAGAAAGGAAAATGTAAAAGAAAAAAAAGAGAGAGAAAGAATGGGGGTGAATCAATAAATTATTAATTTTCTGCCATTGAATAATGTTATGTAATGTAATCTATAAAAACTAACTGTAATATGATCATGAACATTTTAAAACGTAATATAATCTAATCACAAGTGCTTCTTTTGGACTATTGAAAAATAACACCCATTCAATGCCATTATAAAGCTTGGAAGAGCCAGCACATTTTTTTATATAACTCCGATTGGATTTGTCTGAAAGAAGAAAGTCATATACACCTAGGATGCCTTGAGGGTGAGTAAATCATGGGGTCATTTTCATTTTTGGGTGAACAATCCCTTTAACTTTAGGAACTGATTATGTAATCCAGATTAATGTAATCAGTTACTACCAGTGCTGTGCCAACACAGATGGATATTCAAGCATAAACGAAACTGTGCTTACACTCTTAAAAATAAAGGTGCTTCACGATGCCATAGAAGAACCTTTTTGTCTAAATGGTTCCATAAAGAACCTTTAACATCTGAAGAACCTTTCTGTTTCACAAAAGCTTCTTTGTGGCGAAAGAAGGTTCTTCAGATTATAAAAAGGTAAGAAAGAGATGGTTCTTTAAAGAACCTTTGACTGAATGGTTCTTTGTGGAACCAAAAATGGTTCTTCTATGGCATCGCTTGAAGAACCTTTTGAAGCACCTTTATTTTTAAGAGTGTACCTCCATTAAATCAATAAACCACTGAAATTGTCATGTACAGAAAATGATAAAGGACTGGGAAACTGTCTCTTACACTGGAGAACAAACAGTCCTGAGACAAATGGCCAACAAACAACAGAAGAACAGGACAAATTCACACACAGGACAAGCGCTGAGTGACTTTTTATTTGTATTTACTGACTTGAGCCAGCATGACTACTTCTACACAGACAAACCTCTAGAAAACAATACTTCAACTCAGTTAGTACACGAGTAAGGGACCAATTAAAAACCAAACATTACTCGCTCTTCTGCTTTTTGTCTTTTTCCAAGTCTTTGGAGTTCTAAGTTTGTTTTCGGTTCCGTGTACAAGTCTCATAGCTGAAAGAAACATGCATATGACATAATAATGCACATTATAAAGTTCAGTACTGACAAATTAATACAAACAAACAAATGCTATTTTATATAAAGGTATCAAACTTATAGGTCCTTATAGATCAATACTGGAACACAATAATAAGAGTTTCCAATAATAAGCTTCCACAGCTAGTTGAATATCACAATGCCATCACTTCCAGCAAACAGAAAACCTCAGTTACCACATAACTTCGTTTTGGTTTAATTGCACTTAATTTAGTTCCTCCTCACTTGCTGACTGTATTTATTAATTTTACGCCTCAACAAACAAAATGTGACTTTCGTGGCACCATTTGCTTGTTGATGCAACGTTTTCTGTTTCCTGAAATTGTAATGCTCATATAAAAATGTAAAAAAACAAAACAATTGGACAGAAAGAGGACACAAGCTTTCTCACAATTGTTAACAATACTATCGATATCACATGACCTCAGCTACCTCACCATACAAAGCTAGAATAACACCAGTCTCCGACAACAAAACACCACACAGGTTTCGTGTCTCAAAATTTTTGTTCATATTGAGGCAAACGATAATTCTGGCTTCAAACCATTTGACGAAACATAACGTTTTCTAAAACCCCTGAATTTGCTATTAGGATCACTGACCTGACGAATTCAGTACAATCTGTTTTATTTCTCTAATCACTGATATCTTCACACCCTTGAAAACAGAATGAATGTCTTCTGTACTTATTGCTGCTGCTAAGTTTAGAACAAGTCATCTGCTGCTCTTCCTTAAGGAGTGAGAAAAATAAAATACAAAAACTAAACGCTAAGCTAGGATTCTCTCTTCAAAGAACAAAAAGGCACTAATGGTCAGAATGAAGATCATAAACGAAAAACGAACCAAACTGAGGGTAAGGTAAAGCAGGGCAGACCCTCGTCTCAGCGCTTCTGATCCTTTTAACACCAACCCAAACGATGTACCGACACTTGGCACGATAGACAGAGAATTACAGCATTCCAATTTGGAATGAATTCATTTCCTCTTGTACAGAATGCAGAAGGTCAGTGACCCACGAAGGTGCTTGAAACGAACGAAAGAAAAATCGCAAACACTTACAATAAGTGAACTGAACAATCTTAATTCATCCAGGTTAATGGTAATATATGAATATACTCTTGCTCATTGTTAATTCATAATACATTAACCTAATGTTGATTTATACAACGTTAAAAACTTATTCCTATATAAAGAAATGCTTCTAGATTAATACATGGCTGCATTGTTTATTGTTATTTGAACCTTATTGTGAAGTGTTACGAAAACATCAATTTTGTAGTGTTTTTATTGATTTGCTGGTTGTTTAACCAAATCCTTGTGAATAGATTAAGCCACTTTTTTTTTTATTTGTTCACTTTGAAATATTCCTATATAGACGAAATAATAATAATAAATAGACAAAAGCCCAGCATTAAAATGTGTGAATGTGAGAAACAACATTTCATTAAAACACATGAATAATCTTATGGATTCACTTCATAAAGATGGCAGAACTGGAGTAGATATGGATTATGTGACGTTGAGCTCTGTTTACAGAGGACGTACATAATGAAATCAAATACTATTAAAATAGTAGTGTAAAATACGTGAACCGACTCAAACCAGAACGCCTCAAACTATAGACTGATATAATAAAAAGTGATATAACCTAACAATAAAAGAGAAAAGGTTACAGAATCTCAAAACACAGATGAATGTCTTGAGAAAAAGAACATTAGCCCATTTTCTTTTTTTGTAGTTGATTTTTAAGAGTTCAAGTTTTCAGGACATTGTGACCTCTGGCATGTGTGTCAAAAGAACCACAAATGTTCTTCTGTGAATGTAAATGTACTATATCCTGCTCATTCGCCGAGTGTACAATGCATAACAACGATAAAAGGTTTGAGTTTCCAATGGTTTCCAAAAATAAAGGCAGCCATCCAGTGTCTCTCACATACGGCCGAGACAGGTTACTGGTTTGGGAGCACTGGGTTTGTGGGAAGTGGTGGAATGTCGAGTTCCAGCTCAGGCTGAACGTTACTGCAAATCGGGACAAAGAAATAAAAGCCGTTAGCATTACGGTTAGCGTTACACAGCGGCTGCATCGGCTCAAGCGGCGGGTTAGTCAGCAGAAGCCAAACACAGCCCATGTTACAGGTTTTATTAGTTAGTGTGGAAGAGAAGTACAGGATGCAGGAAGCCAGAGGTTCTCACAAGAACTAAAAACCTCAACCTCAACAGGTGATCCCAAAAAAAGTAGTGAATGTTAATGAGTTGTACAAAGTTTTTGAACGGTCAATGGCGAAACATTTCACGAACACACCTCTTGGCGAAACACAGACCAACTGTCCACCTGACAGCTCATTTCTTATTGGTAATAATTTCATTGCTGATCAAACTGATTTAATGACTTATGCATTAGGGGAAAAATGGATTGAAGAGAGACATGTCAACCACATGAGACATTAGTCTTTTTTCTGTGAAAGGTCAATTCAATTCAAAAATGAAGGTCACTAATCTGATGAGTGGGCAGAGCCAGAGGCATCCCGTCCCATACCGGGAGCATGGGTAACAACCAGGAATCCAGACCACTAGATCATATGGGAACAGTCCTTGCTAGAGCAACTGGACTAGAGAATGTACAAGTTACAGAATGTGAAAGATGCATGTAATCTTTATAATGTTTGTTTTATTTACCACTGCTATCATTTGGAGTTCCTGAAATGTGAGTGGTGCTGCACTTTTCCTTTATAAATACAGTGATTCGAGAAGACATTCATTTAACCCATTTGCAGCAATTCATGTATTAATGCATGAATCGACATTAGCTTGCAAGTAGATTAGCAACTTTTGTTTCAGTTTGTCTAAAAACCCTAGTTAGCATCCACTGCTTCAGTTGTGTCAATCTTTCACGTGATGCAAACACAAAAGAGTGAATGCAATCTATATGGAGATGAGAGTTTCATATCATATACAGATTACTAATGCAAAGGTCGAGAGTAACTAGGAATTAGGCATTAACCCTATTTGTCTCTGATTCAGGATAAATGTTTTAAGCAAGCCAGAGAATGAAAGCCTGAAACTTTGAATCGTTTGTTTGCCAAAAAGAGATTGGCTTGTCCTCTTGTGTTGAAATGAGACGGCCACGCTATTTAAGAGTACAGAAACGACAGATAAGGCCTCTCTAATGTTTCATCTGCAATGGAAATACACAAAAAAGCTTGTGAACGTTGACAGCACTGAGCATGTGGCAAGCCCTTCACCATGACTTCACCGTGTGTGCTCAAGTATACGTAATCAAGTCTAAGACATATTAAAGCTCTCAGATCAGCAGCCAGACATCTAATGAAAAAGCAAGCCTTCGTGGCGCATACTGATTTATGAAGACGCGTCGTTCCCGCCTGCCTCACGTGTGACATCACTAAAACACACACACACACACTCTCCAACCCGTCGATTTTCATTTTTGATGTTATTTTTGATTTCTCACAATAATGGCACAATCCGAAGGGTTTTCCTGCACGTCAACGAGGCAGGGAGGAGGTTTGCATATTTCGTTTGCTCGGGCATGTGAACACGAGTTCCCTGATTGGACGGGCTGCTGATTTCAGAGGCAGGAGAGAGATGGACAGAGGACAAGGGCGAATGGCTATCGACTTGTGACCACAATTCAACAATCCTATGGCTAGCTCTCTCTATCACGTCTAATCTAGAAGCGCGCACAGCAGCTGCCTTGAGCTGTAAGATTGTGCAATTCGGTTTAATGCCACTAGCAGAAACACACCTATAAGACTAAACGCTATATCAGTCTGCCCTTAGCTAGCACTACAACATGCACCTGGCTACGAGGACGCTAGCAGGCATGACCATATTTAGCGGACACATCATATGGGTTAGCACACAGCAAGCAAGAGAGCGCGCAAGTGGAGCTTTGTACAACGGCTGACGAGGCTCGCGCCGCTTCAGTCGCAGTAGATCTTGTACTTCTCGCTGCAGAACACCACCGGCGTTCCCAGGAGGCCGTTGGGCTCGGCTCGACCCCCGCAGGTGGCAGCGGCGGCAGGGTGACTCACGTGGGACTGGGTGGGTTTCCCGCGCGAGGAGGCGGTCTTGGAGCGGCCGTTGGCTCCGCCGCGGCGGGTCTGCTCGTAGTCGAACTCCAGGTCCTCCAGCCGCTGGGTGAGTGCCAGCTTCTGCTGGATGGCCATACGGAGAAGAGAGTTCAGCGTCTTCTTCTCATCATCCGCAGCAGCCAGCTGCCTCTGCATCTCGTCCAACTGAGTCACGTACTCGTCACAGCTGAAAGTCAGAGAGGTGGTTGGGATTAGGCCTTTCAAAATGGCTGAAAAACGAAATGAGAATTTATGTATTCATAGTTTAATACAAAGGGCCGAAAGCCAATCACAGAGTACATTTTTCATTTAAAAACACGAGTTGCAGAGGGATGGGAAAAACCTGCCATAAAGTCTCGATATGTTTTTTCAAAGTTGAACTTGCATTAATATTACATGGCTTTCTAAACATGCGGCTCTTTTGTGCTCTCGCGAGTGCAACGGTGATAGATGTCCCTCTAGAAAATGCGCAAAATATGCGTTCTGTGTGAATGGCTTGGTTTCAGTTTTGATGTAAACAAGATCTTCTCTGCATTGATGTTCTCTTTTCCCGCAATATTTGTAATTAACAACGTAGCAGCGCCGCATCTAGTGGCTTCAACTGGATAAGCTAAGAAAAACATTATAATGCAGTGACACTTACATCGTCATTGCATCTCGTGCGCCGCTGATAAGGCTGCCTGACGCACACCTAAAGTTCGAATGCAACGTTTTTGCATTCGAATGTGGATTTTTATTTTAAATTCAACGAATATTCGAAATTCTAATTTTTTTTGACAGCCCTAGTTGGAATATATTAGTACTACAAAAAACATACTCCATAAGGCCCTGGTATTAAGATGTGCTTTTGTCGATCAGATCATGTGGACAACACTAAATACAGGTGTGAACGGGGTCTGAAAAGTTATGAACACATTTGAACAGACTGCTTTCGTAATATAAATGTCGAATGCGTTCGATCAGCCACTGACGACGCCTCCTCTGTGCCTACTGACCTAATTGACACTAGCAAGACAGGATTTAAACTTTGCCAGCTGAAATTGTACGTCTGGTTTGAAACTAAAAAAACAAAAAATAAACAATGTTCTTGTTCCATTCCTGATTCTAACTCAAGCCCTCAGCATTTGGTGGATTTTTGCAGAAATTAATCAGAGCAGAAACTAACGCTGCTGCTCTCCTTTTTGCTGCTCTGCATCTTCTTTCATGTTCATTCTCTTCATTAACCATGGTTTTATTATAGTAAAAGTGTACTAACCATGGTTTATGGCATATTGATTACCATTTCGTCCCCTTGGAGTTATAAGTACCTATATAAGCATTCCGAGTAGTTTTGAGATATTGAGCTTCAAAGTTTTTGCATTCCATTCGACTGTGTAGATAGAACCTTTTTTTTTATTTTTTTTTTTTATAAAAAGTCCCAAAATGTACACAACATAAAAAAATCTATCACATAATGTAAATAAGTCGTCACAGAATAAGAATATATGAAGTAGGGCTGTCAAAAAAAAATTAGAATTTCGAATATTTGAAACCAAGCCGTTCACACAGAACGCATATTCATCGCATTTTCTAGAGGGACATCTAGCAACGCTGCACTCGCGTCTCGCACGAGAGAGCGGCATGTTTAGAAAGCCATGTAAAATTAATGTAAGTTCAACTTTTAAAAAACCTGTCTCAAGAAGACTTTATGGCGGTTTTCCCCATCTCACTGTATCTCATGTTTTTAAATAAAGAAAGTAGCCTACTCTTTGTGATTGGTTTTCGGTCCTTTGTATTAAACTACACATACATGCATGATGCTGTTTTGCTTCTAATTGTTTAAGCAACTTTATTAATTATATATGGTTTATAAGACGTTACAGAGCACCGAATACCAGGACAGCCAGGCACAAGAACAGTTTCTTTCCCCAGGCAATCTACCTCATGAACAGTTAATGTTCTCCCATTGTGCAATTAAAGTACA